ATTGGGTTTCCTGTACGGTTTGTGTTTTGCGTTGATCAGGTCGAAAGTAACATCTAAAAAATTTACAACGTTCATATTTACTTCGGCGGTGATTTTAAGGTCAAATTGCTCGAAAATTTTGTGTAGCTCTTTTCCAGTTTTGTCTAGTAAACGGGCGGATTTGCTTTTTATAATAGCCAAGCCATCATCTCTATAAAGTCCGATGTTTTCCTTGCCAAACCTCTTACCTAAGTGATTTAAAATGAAAAGGCCTACCAGCTCACAAATTTCAGCGCCGTCGGAACTACCCATAGTGACGTCAAATAAACTGTTGCTTCCGTCTTTTTTTGTCCATAATTTGCCGTTGCCGAAAAGTAGAGATTTTCTTGCATGTTTTATTATTGAAATATTGTTTTCGGTAATAGTAGTCAAATCCGAAGCCCAGGCCAATGCTTCATTTAAAAGTTTTTCGGAAATAGATGGGTAAAAATCCACAATATCAAATGAAATAAAACTGTGCCTGTCTTTATCGTTTATATTGCCAAACCATGAAATTACTTGTTGCGTGTTTCTCCATTGATTTGAATTTAGTTTTTGTCTCAAATTGGAATTAATTTTATCTAAAATAACCTTACTTAGTTTTCCGGATTCGCTTTTTGCGGGATTAATTAGTCGGCATTTTGGATTGTTTTCGAAATTTTCTTTGTGATCTTTTAAAGATATAAATGCTTCGCGTTTTTTCATTCGTTCAATTCTGTCGCCAATTCCTAACCTACTCGAAATTTCTTTCAATTCGGAGTCAATTTCATGTATAAAGTCCTCTGATCCATGTTTGTACGTTTTCGTGATGTTATCATGTAAGAGTTCGTTGTATGTGTTCAGTGACGTTTCGTAAATGTTTCTAGTTTTGTCCGCGAAAATGAAAATGTTGGGGGATGAATTAATTTTCTTCAAATCGTTAGCCAAAGATGTCTGAAATTGGTCTTTAGGACGCCGGAATTTTACGTTTTATTTATTTTGATTTGATTTTTAACAGAAACACTTTAAAAGTAAGCTACAGTTGCATGAACAACGTTAAGTCTATAATCACCAAACACAACGCACATATAATTAGGAACAGTCAATCACAGAATACGGAAACTGACAACTGTAACTGCGACAACAAAAACACTTGCCCAATACCGAAACAATGCATGACCAACAACATTATTTACAAAGCAACAGTCACAACGAACAACACGAACGACACTAAACACTACATTGGTATGACAGCGACTACATTTAAGGAACGTTACGCTAACCACACTTCATCTTTTCGTCATAAAAAAGACTCAAACAAAACGGAACTTTCGGAACATATTTGGAAATTAAAAGAAAACAATCAGGATTATACCATCAAATGGTCAATTTTAAAACACGCTATTTCGTACACAGGGGGATCAAAACGCTGCAATTTATGTTTGGAAGAAAAATTTTGCATTTTGAAAGACATAAACAAAGATAATTTACTCAATAAAAGAAGCGAAATTTTTGACAAGTGTCGTCACAAAAACCGGTTTCGAGTAAACAAGGTCGTTAACAAAACCTAATGACCCAAGCATGCATTGTTTCACCTAAGCATTGTTTCGCCTACACGCATTCCGCACATTCTTTCGATAGCATAAAAGCAACCTACAATTTCGAAATTATTCACCATCTGATGATTCCTATACGGATGAAACAGACTGTTGTGGTTTTTTGAGGTAAAACGGAAAACTATATTACGCTCTATCTATATGGTATTGAGCACTGTTTGTGTTTCGTAAACCAAAATCTTAAGCTATATATATATATATATATATATATATATATATATATATATATATATATATATATATATATATATATATATATATATATATATATATATGGAGATATATATGGAGGTCCCGTAAGAGCCATTACTTATATTAACCCAGTTGTATTACAAATTTATTACAGGAGGAAACCTAAACCAAGCAACTTTATTTACATTGGATAGCTCTATCAGTTTTAAACTGTTCTCCCCAGAGATCCAGTAACAGCCATCCTTATTTTAGTCCAGTGTTACTATACAGGAAGAAACCTAAACTAAACTAACTTTATTTATATTGGATAGTTCTATCAGTTCTAAACATGCAGTTCTCCCTAGAGATCCAGTAAGGGTCATCTCTTGAACTAAACTAACTTTACGTGAACTAAACTAACTTTATTTATACTGGATAACTCTATCAGTTCTAAACTGTTCTCCCTTGAGGTCCAGTAAGGATCATCTCTTATTGACCCAGTGTTACTACAGGATGAAACCTAAACTAAACTAACTTTATTTATATCGAATAGCTCTATCAGTTTTATAGTGGTTTGATTAAGATCATCCCTTATTTTTTTTGCATTCAGGTTTTAATAAAGAAATCATTAAAGCTTACCCTATTGGTCTACGCGGGCTGCGCCCTCGTGTGTTGTCTGGCAGCGGCCTTACTACCAATTGAGACGAGCGGAAAGGAGATGAAGGTAATCTATCACTGACCTCGTAAGATTAAACTAGATTGATCATTTGTATATTAAAATAGCCACTGACCGCAAAAATAAATCTGAATTAATCCTTCCAAAATCAGTTTAGCATCTATACAGTTATTTAATTTATCTTTAAATATATCGTTTATAGGAAGCGAATTTTGGATCAGAATAACAGATTCAAATGATAAAACTAATCAATCTGTACAAGTATTTCATAAATAAAAGTTAACAAAACTGGACGATTTTGTATCTTTGCATGCATAAACGACGTTTGTATAAAATTTACGGATCACTCGTATTTAATACGCAAAATAAAATTATTTTTATGAACATTATATAAATATGGAAGCAATGAAAAACTAAGTCTAAGTTCTTACTTGCATATACTTCGTAGTTTGTACATAGTATAAACGATTTTTTTAGATAGGAATTTAGTGATATCTATAGATCATGTACATAAGAACATGTGTTCTTGGTTTGCATTTGACATCATGTCGACCATGTTGGAGGAGCACAAGAATATCATTAGCAGCTATTGTATTTGGAGCGAGTTTCCATCCAACATGGCCGCCATATCTTTGTCTTATAAATCTCAAGGGATTGTAATGTTGCGGCTGAGTTTTATATTCTTATGCTTTTAGTTATATTATAAATTAATAAAAAAAAAATTTTAATCTAGTATAGTGGACTTGTTTGAGTTTTGAATAAGAGAGAAGAGCTAGATTAAGACTAGTTTACACTATCAAAGTTTCTGTGATCACAGTAGGAATTTTACATAGTTAAATTGAAGGATTTGCAAGAAATGTTTGAGGGTATACTGGCTAGCTTGGTGTTTAAAACTTAGACTTTACCTAATATGCAAAATTCCTACTGTGATCACAGAAACTTTGATAGTGTAACAGACCTCTGTACAATCAATTTTTTTCCTATTTTACGTATCCAATTTTTACGCAATAAATGAAATGAAAAGCGAATGAGAATCGCGCAATTAATATAAATAATTATTGCAGTCCATCTTTTACGATTGCTTTTTCACACGGTGTAATAATTATTTCAAAATCCAATTTAAATTTAGATTTATTTTAATTTCGGCTCAAGCTGTTACGGTGTTAATGTAACGAGACACAGTCACCCAGTTTCACAAACAACTGCTAATTTTCGCACGTCTCAAACTAAATGAATTTTCAAACAAATCGGACCGGTTGTACAAAAGCCGTACAGCGCTATTCACCGGATAGCGATTTATTTCAATCGTTGTACAAAATGCTTCAAAAGTGATAAAATTACGAATATGGATCTCATGCACAATGGATGATTCGAGCTTTTGACTAAATTTTGATCTAGGCAAGAGAAGAACAAAATCCATCAGCACAGCTAGAAAGAGCATGTTAAAATTAGTAAAATTGCAAAGTTTGGTTGCAAAATGTTGTAAAATGCGGAAAATATAGCGCTAACCGGCTTTCGTAGGCTAAACCGATCCAAGATGAATTCTCGAGTTGTAATTAAGACGTGTTCATTGAGGTAGCAGCTGCCCGAACCAGGGACAATTAGGGTATGAAAATGATTTCGAAAGTCGCAAGACAATACAGAAAATTGTTTGAAGAAACAAAGTGTTGCGGTAAAGCGATATCAAATTATGAATGTGATGAGTTTTTTCTCATTTGCTTTTTCATTCGTTCTTTGCCTTCATAAAGTCATCACTAGTAAAGCTATACGATAACGATTTTAAGTAAGAATGTTACGAGGCGTGAAACCGCCTGAGGGGGGGATGAATGCTCCTTCAAAAAAAATAGAGTCCCAAACATTTTGGGAATAAAATTTTACAGAATTCTGAAGATTATAAAGTTCATCAAAGACATGATTTTTCCCCAGACATTTCTCCTCGGAATTTAATTAATTGGAAAAGCCGTCACCTTGGAAATCTGGAGGAGGGATAGGTGCCACCTTATTTCCCCTCTGTGCGTGATGCTGCATGGGGGGGAGATCCCAATGTGATTTTGATCGGAAATTTTGCATTTGGATCATTCTACAACACAGTATTTTCCGCATTCTCAAAATTGCATTTATACTTTTCATAAGATATCGAATAAGTTTGTGAAGGAATATTCATGCTATGATAATGACATACAAGTATTTATAATGACATACAAGTATTAAATCCATTCTTCTTGGACCCATATCTACAAACGCTTTATAACGAGAGCGAGAAGAAACTGTGAAAGCGTCATGAGCCTAGCTGGGAAATCATACATAACAAATATATTTAATCTTTATACGAACGCACCTGCTGAATTCGGCAAATAACACCGCATATATTAAACTTGTATAATATATCAATACTTTTAAAGTCAAGATAATTAAACCGAGCTTTAAACGAGAATATATCCAGAACTGTTATGTACTCGCATCAAAAATCTACATGCAACGGTTAAATTATTGATAAAAGTTGATTCATTCATTCGATTCTGCCATTAAAAGAGTGGAAAATGCCGAGCTTTTCACGATATATAGTTCTGCTTATTTTCGTGCAAGTTTTTGCAAGCGTTTTGGCAGATGAAAAGCATTTTGGAAAAAGCGACTCGACGCCACAGAGCGAAAAGGCAACAAATTCGCATGACGGTTTGCAGAAGATTGAAAGCGAGGAACGTTTGGGATATCTGTATATTAACTATGAAGCAACGAAAAAGCCAACGAAAAAGGTCGTATACAATACTACACAAAATATAACAGCATTTGTTGAAGAAAGTGAAAAACCTTTGTTAATTGTCAACGGAAATACACAAGGTTATATAAAGTCAAACGAAAGTAGCTTTAAGAATAAAGTTGAAGAAAACGAGCTTAGCCATGTTAGGTTGTCTAATTTCACGGACAGAATTCCAAAAACTGACAAGAGATTGTTAACGATAAGCAGACAAGAACAGACTGCAGACAGTACAATGCTGAACGTTCACCAGCCGGACACCGCAAGAATAGAGCCAAAGAGAGGACATGTGTTGAACAAATTCCAAACAAGCTTTCAAAAGGCTGGAACACAAGAAAGAAATAAAGAACGGTACATGAAAAATGGACAAACGGGAATACAAATAAAACAAGGAATTAAAAAGACGGAGAGAGCAAAATTGGGCAAATGGGTTGACGGATTGACGAAGGGGGAGCAAAGGACGAGAACGGGGGAAGACTCTAGGAAAAATGGACGTGAGAGTTATGAGAAGTCAAGGGAGAGTGCATGGGAAAATATAGAACAGACAGGAGGAAAAGTAGAATTAGATAGAGCAGGAAGTGAATGGAGGAAAAATGAAAGAAATGAGATTAGGAATGTGGAAAGTGATAGGGAGTCAGCTTTGGAATCGATTGAGAAATCAAGAAAGGGTGAATGGAAAAATATAGAAGAGGAAAGAAAGGCGGTCGAAAGCAGTGGAGAAGTGGAGAGAATTGGAAGTGAATGGAACAAAGGTGAGACGACTCACATTGGCACGGTGCAAAAAAATGGAGAGATAAATGAGGGGAGAGTTGAGAAGTCAAGGATGGGTAAATGGAGAAAGAAAGGGGGGGAGGGGAAAATGATAGACAGTAAGGGAGAAATGGATAGAATAGAGAGTGAGTTGGGCAAAGGTGAAACGAATGAATTTAGAATTGAACAGAGTGATGGAGAGACAGCTAAGGAAAGAATTGAGAAGTCAAGGTTGGGTGAATGGAGAAAGATAGGAGTGCGGCGAAAGGCAGTAATAGGAGTAGAAGAGCTGAGTGGAATAGAGAGTGAGTTGCGGAAAGGTGAAAAGAGTGAATTTAGAATTAGACAAAGTAATAGAAAGACAGCTTCAGATAAAATCGAAAAGTCAAGAAAAGGAGTATTAGGAGAGAGGAGAAAGGCCGTAGAGAGAATAAAAGAGCTGGGTGGAATAGATGTGGAGTTGGATAAAGATGAAAAGAATGAGTTTAGGACTGAACAAAGTAATGGAAAGATTGAGAATGAAGATGAATGGAGAAACATGATAGGCAGTACAGAAGAACAGAAACAAATAGATGGTGATTTGAGCGAAGGTGAGAACAGTGAACTTAGAATTGGAGAAAGTAATAGAGAGAAAACTGCAGCAAAGGTAGGAGAAAGTGACCATAGGATTGAGGGCAAAAATAGGCAATATAGAACAAGGTATGTAGGAGGTAAAGGACAAGTGGATCAAGGAGGTGGAGATGAAACAGAATACGGACGGATAGGAATGGTAAATGAGGGTCAACATGCGTTGGCAGGGGCAAAAGAGGAAGTTCTGAATGGAATAGAAGGTATTACAAAACCTGGTTCTCAGAGCTGGGAGGGGACGGAAGGACAGGATAAAACAGGACAGAGATGGATGGAAAAGATGAGAGAGGGTGGACGTAGGGTATTAGGTGTACATGGAAAGAATCAGGGAGGGATATTAGAAAAACAGGGTGAGCTATGGATTGAAGCAAATATAGGACAGTTACAAGGACTGAGAAAACAAGGAGTGAATGGAGTAGGTACACAGGGGGGTAGGATGGTTCTGGGAGAACTAAATGAGAGAATTATGGGTGAACAAAGGATGATAGATAGGGTTGATAAGGGTGAACTAAGGATAGGAGCAGCAAATATGGGAGAGTTAAAGGAAAGACTGGAGAAACAGGAAAGTGATAGTGCCAAAGGAACCACCGAAATGGCGAAAGAAGGTGTATTTAGGGGTAAAGCGGTAGGAGGACGAGTAATTAAAGGAATGATGACTGAACAAAGGAGGATGAATAGGGATAGAGAGGGTGAAGGAACGATTCTAAGGAAACAAGAAAGGAAGGCAGGAATGACAGTCGGAATAAATGAATATAAAGGACGAAGTGGAAAAGAAATTAAAAATGAACAGATTGTAGCAGAAAGTGGGATAAAAGAAAGAAAAACTGGATGGGATAAGCTGTTGGGTGTAGAAGGTGGAGGACGAGATGAATATTGAGAGATATAGAAACTCAATGGTAATCATGTAAGAGCTATATGTGTATTTGTGTGGTTAAAATATTACAATTGTAAAAAATAAATAAATGATAATCTGTGTGTGGAACATTTACGTGAACCAGTTTAACAAAATAGGTCATATATTATCATACCTAGTTGCCGTGAAATTATGAACTATAAAATGGGCTATAAGTACTGTATTGCTGCTAAAGTGCTATTCTGGTAGGCAATGTGTGTTCAACTGTTTTCTGCTTTTTCTATTAAGATATAAACATACAAGTGGTATAACGAACAATTATATGCGCTTCAAGTGAATGAAAATATTTTCGTAAAAAGATGTATAACCTTGTGAGCTGTACTTTACATGTTAAATATTTACACTAAATTTATTTCTTTGAATTGAATTGATAGGTTTTTAAACACAAATTGACTAACAGTTGCGATTATGAAGTATTTCACATTGAGCCTAATTTTGTTTGTGATATATAAATATGAAATTCACCAAAGGTATTATTTCAAAATCATAAAACCCAAGGCTTTACAACTGTACAAGCAAACGCGACAAAGCAAAACCATTTTAACGATGGTATTCACCGCTCCCCGCTTTCCGTAGCGAAGCCCAGAACTTTACCGACAAACATGTCCACAGAGATTCTTTCAGGTAAATGTGTTTTCATTAAAGTAACGAGGTTTTCTTTCTGAGAAACACCTACCTCTGCGCTGCCACCAAGATCTGAAATTCCGAGAAGGGTAGACATTAATTCTGATAACTCACCTTCTGTCATGTGCTCACCTGTGAGAAAAAATGCGATTAGAAAAGACATAGTTCGTACCCTCCCTTCTTTAGGGGGGGGGGGGGAATACACCATCTTAAAGAAGACAAAGAAAGGGGGGTTGGAAAAACCTTGTTGTTGTTGAAAGGAGGTTACTGAAAAGGGTGGGTTGGGTCAAAAGGGGGGGGGGGATGAGCAAAACACTACCATGATTTATCAACAATCAACTGACCGCTTCCAGAGTTGCGAAAAGCGTTCAACTTCCTCCGGGTAAAGTCAAGTACTGCATCATTTAATAATTTTCTGGTGTTAGTGTCGAGTAGAATCTTCCCCACTGACCTCACATATGGTAAACCTTCCTCACGGGTAAGATACTCGCATACCCGCAGCTTTTTTGCATGCACTTACTGCTTCAATCTTCTCAAATCTTACCTTTATTTTGCAAAACAGACAGCAGCGCATCTCTCTGTATGACCACCGTGCCTTCCTTAGTTTCGCGTCCAAGCTTTGTAAACGAATCTTCCAACTCTTTGGATGATAAACCAAACACAGGTCTGTGATTCACGTACACTTAACAGAGAGACAGAAACACTTACCACATCAAATTGATTTACACGAATATAACAATCAGTAAAGTATTAATTTATACTATTCCAGACAAGGCCAGATTTTGGTGGAAATGGTGGGGAAGGTGGAAAAAAATTTAGGGAAGGTGCTGTGGTATTTACGGTTAGAACGTACCACTACCCCCTATAAAAATATATATGCATGTACTGTACATATGTATCAGACATGAGTGTATTTATGTATGACTCATCCAATTTCGCCCTTCATTGCCTATTTACTTTACAGTATGTACAAAGCTTCTTCAAACAATGCGTTAAAATGGTCACATTTGTTCAAAGTGTCATCTTGATCTATCATTTAACATTTCCAAAGGGGAGGTGCATGAATTTTCAGGGAAGGTGCAAAAAATCTCAGGGGAGGTGTTAAACGATCTCTGGAGAGGTGCGCACCTCCCCTCAAAATCCGGCCATGATTGCAGACATAAGGGGGAAAATAAGAGAATTAACTTATGTATTGTTCGTGTACAGTAGCCAAAGTTTAAGGTTTGTTTACACTTGCAATTTTTGCTCCGATTTCTAGTGCGATGTTGTTCTTCTGATTTGATGACAACGCAAAGATGAGTTATGAATGTTCTGGGTACATGTACATTATCTGAACATTCATAACTGAAGGTTGTAAACGGTTTTAATACCATCCCCCAGCTAATTCCAGTTTTTTCTAACGGACGGTATCGCTAAACAAGTTATCAGTTCATAAAACCATAGTTCTTTAAATCGAAGTCAAAATACGAAATTTCGGGACACTCCTTGTAATAGTGTTCTAAAACTTACATTTAATAAGCTCCCCCAGTTCAATATCTTCCACATATTTCCCAGTCTCGACATATTCACTGAACTTCACTTCATTAATCATGTCATCTACCTCCTGTTCGGTGGGGTAATAACCGAGCGCGCGCATCACAAACGGAACCTGGGACAGAGAAATCTTCGTGGACGTCTCGCGCGTTTCCATCGTGTCCACGTTCTGGCTTCTTAGAAGGGCGTAGTAGAAATAATCTTCCAATTCCAGGAAAAGGTCGCCGTCTCTTCCACCTTCTAATAATTCGTAGAAAGGTTCGAGGTCTTCACCACCCAACTGAGAGGACGCTTCCAGTGCGCTACACAATAAAACCACTTGTATTAGCATTTACCGAGTAACTTTGTTTATATTGGGTAGCACACAAGTTCTGAGTGTTGCCCTGGAGGTCTAGTAAGAACAATTCGTCTTTGGTACCGCGGTGTTAACTCAGGATGCGACGATATAAGCAGTATATATACTTTGATAGAGCACTTCCTGTGTAAATGGTGTTATTCTACCAAACACCATAGGTTTCCTCTTGTAATGAGACAAGACCAATACGAAATGGTAATTACTGGACCTTTAGCGAGAACAGTTTAGAAGTGAGAGAGCTATTTTGGTATACCTCTGCATGGTACGTACTAGATAATACTTACTCAGCATTAACTTTCCACATGATCACACTAGAGTCACTTCCTCCCGCAGTGAACAAGTATTGACCATCATAGGAAGACACGACATTCGAAACCTTAAATAAAAGCAATTAGTATGATTAGTTGATTATGATTATGATTATGATTATTCAGCTCACTCCCCATCGGGGCATTTCAGTGATCAAATACATCAAGTATTACGCTTACTTATATTACTTACTAAGCTTAGAATTTCTACAGCGCAAATTTACATGCGGATATGATCAAATGCGCTTACATCAAGTATTACGCTTACCTAATTACATACTCAGCCTAGATTACTATATCTTTACAACAATTGTGATATTACTTTCTTAACTGTGTTTATCCTAACCCACCCTGTCAACTTTCCCTGTGGGAGGAAACCAGACCATCCGGAGAAAACCCACGACTTTCGGCAGAACGTTGACAGACTCTTTTCACATGAGTCCGTAGCGAGAATCGAACCTACGAACTCTGAGGTGAGAGGCGCTTGTTCTGAAGACTGCGCCACCGCAGCCCAGTAGACTTCGTCAGTAGTAGACTTGATCATAGAAGTTTTATACAATAAAGCTTGCTATTCTATCACCAGACCAAACAAACGAAATAATTTGTTTTACTAAATATTACTTACATGACTTGGATGTGCTATTAATGCCATTGCTTTATGTGGATTGCCATCCAGTGGTAGTATTTGCAAACCAACCTACGAACAAACCATGGATAAAAATACTCAAATAGAGATAACTTGTTAATTTAACCTTTTAAGTACCAATGCGCCCCGATGCGCCCGACTTTATTAGTTTACTTCGTCTAACCCCTGACGATTTTACTCGTCAAGGGAAGTTTAGAGTGCTGCCACTCGATGGTTCAAAATTTGGTTCTACTCGTTTCAAAACTGAAGATATGTACCTTATTCTCCGTGATATATCCCATATAATGTCGATCAGTACCATCTTTATTGGGCAACATTACCAACCTATGAAAACAGGACAAACGAACATAAAAGTACAAAGCACACAATTGTTGTGTGATATCAAACAGTGGCGGGCACTGGGGAGGAGGGTCAGAGGGGCAACCGCCCCCCCCCCAAAAAAAAAATCCGAAAACCTTGTGAAATTTTGAAAAATTTACGAAAACTGAAAAACTGTGTAACAAAGCTATGACAATTATTTGTCGAGGCTATACGGTAGATTAAGCTATATATTGCACGAAATTTAACGCAAAAAAATTTAAAGAACTAAGAGTTCCATCAACAAATGGTGGTCATATGGTGACAACCTAAATTTGCCCCCTCCTCCCAATATTTCGTGACGTGTCCGGGAATGATGTCTGCAGACTATAGCATGCAATTTAATCCAATGACAATGTCATATAATGACAATAGGGCCATTTATACGAGACAAAATAAGACGCGACTTACATAAGACGCGACTTAAATAAGTGGAGTTATCGCATAAATGGTTCTCTACGGCTTTATTCTTATTTACTTGCTATAGCTATAATGTTGTTACGGTTGTTTTTGTTTTAATATGCAAGGCTAATAATTGTACGTTGTTTCAAGTTTCGGGCATGTGTAGTTAGAATGTTTGTCCAAAATTTCTTATTTAAGACGCGACTTACATAAGAACAGCTAAAAGTCCTGTTCTTATTTAAGTCGCGTCTTATCCAAGACGCGACTTACATAAGAATTTTGTGCCTTTTATACGACAAACTCGCGTCTTATTTAAGTCGCGTCTTATGTAAGTCGCGACTTATTTTGTCTCGTATAAATGGCCCTAATGTCATTTAATCCAATGACAATGTCAATAAATGACAATATTGTAGGCAACCAGTACAGTATAGGCAACCAAGGACGCGCCTTCGCTCAAAACGTCGATTGTTCTCCTTCTATATTTTCCATATATTATGATTTTTTAATATTTCAGCAATATGCAATTTCAGGACATACTTTCTAAGTGGTGAACCGTATGTGGGACCAAGCAAAGTCTTCCGACACATCTTCGTTGTGGAGTTGTATAACTTCAGTTTGAACTGTGGAAAAAATAAAATATTTACCTAAAATTACCGGTTTTGTATTTGGTACATAAAAGTAAGACATGGGCAGACTATAGGAAACATGTTATGGCATCATTGGGTATGTTTTGTTGTTAGATTTAGGTCGACTCTAGGTCAACTAAAATAGCAAAGACGATCGGTTCATATGAAGATCGACGTTTGAACTGGGCCTTATATTCACTAACTTGATCATTTGCGACGACTAGAAATGACTCTTTGACAACAGGAGGATACCACGCAAGGCATGTTGGGACTGCACTTTGTTCGATACGATCTGAACTGATCAGTCTGACGTCATCTATACCACTGTTGATGACGTCATATTCAACCTAGCAAAACAAAACAAAACAAAGGTATGGATTACTCATATCCTACTATTATACAGTTGCTACCTTAACTTGTAAATTTACATCTCAAACTCATTAATAATTCATGAGTAAATTAGCCAACCATATTGCTTTATTTTGCTCACATGATAATACTGGATACCTGGTGAAGTATATTGATCCAATCCTAGGACTGAATCAAAATTAATTCAGTTCTTGGACTGGATCAAAATTAATTCACCTATAGTGATTTATTCGTATGAGATGTGATTTCAAATCCTCCAATTCGGACTGGACTGGATTTCAAGTCCTCTCATATTGATCCAGTCCTCGGCTTCGCCTCGGACTTGATCAAATTGTGCGGACTTGAAATCTAGTGCAGTCCTTATAGTCGGATTTGAATTATTACATAAATTGAGAGATGATCATAATGATTATTCAACAAGAAATACATCTTACCATTAATCTATCTTCACCAAGTGACAGTAGGCGTGGAATGTCGGAGTCAAGCGCCACGCCGAATGCGATATCGCTTATTCTTTTATAATGAGCGCGTTGTTTTCCCAGATATATCCAAGGTTCTTTAAAATTTCCAGGAATTGCTTGAAACAGAGTCACGCAGTGATCCAAGTCCTGCAGAATAATAAGAATTCGACATAGGTAAAAAATAACAAACCTATTGTAATCGGCTAATGCTCGTTTATGCCTATTCCACGATGATGTACGATTCAACTAATGCACAGTTTCAACGTTACATTGGGTAAACTAAACTTAATTTTAAATTAATTAAACAGCCATAATATTGGCTGTACTACACCAATGGTGTGATTCCAGCTGTGGACGAAATTTTGATCTAGACAAGACGAGTCATATGTTGACGATTCCAAGTCGTATTTGTCGTTTGCAGTGAAGGATGTTGAAAACGCGGTAAACCAATGGGCAATTCCAGCTATAAACTAAATTTTGATCTAGGCAAGAAGAACAAAATCCATCACCACACCTAGAAAGAGCATCTTAAAATAAGTAAAATTGCAAAGTTTGGTTGCGAAATGTTGTAGAATGAAGAAAATATAGCCCTGTGAAGTCCGCACATTTTGTATATATTTGTATTACTCGCGGTAAAAATAACCACTTTCGGCTCAAAAATGGTTATTTTTCCTGTGCGTAATGCAGATATATACAAAATTTGCGAACTTCACCGGGCTATATTGTCTTCATTTTACAACATTTCGCAACCAAACTTTGCAGTTTTACTCATTTTAAGATGCTCTTTCTACGTGGGTGTTGGATTTCGTCCTTCTTGCCTAGATCAAAATTTCCGCCATAGCTGGAATCACCCATTGTAATAGTCATCTCTTCAGCCCCGTTTTAAGTTTTTCTTGACAAGTTTTGTTGGTCGTGTGCTCGGAATGTTGTTAAACATTTATCTCATGTCCAGGCCGGCTTTTGTTTGCCAAAAACATAGAATTATTTCTTGTACGCTTGTCAAGTTTTCCTTGGCGACCGTACACACGAACAAATTTTCCTTGTCCAAAAGCTGACATGACTTGTCTTGGAACAAGGCACATTGGCAAGGAAAGATTTTTTGCCGCACACACGAGCAAATAGATTGAATTTTCATTGTCTACTAAGTGTAAAACTCTGGGCACCCTACTGTATATACATGTAGGTGTATTGTTCCAAGCACTTACAGCAGATGCAAGATATTTGGAGTCGTGTGAAAACATGAGATGAGTGATGGAATCATGACAATGTTTAAACACAGCCAGTCCCTCATCCTCTCCTTCTTCAAGTAATGTCGCTGAATCCAACACTCGAACACTCCCATCTGTACAACCCATCGCTGAAAAGAAATATCAAAAATATTTTAGGGTGTTGAACTGTTTCACTAAATTTAGATATTAGGGCGTGTTCGTATGACCCCAGCTAACCAGGAAAGCCACCTGAGTGAAATCTGCATACCCTTTGTTAACGCATATAAAATTATATTTGTGTTCATATGAGGAACGAGCCAGCCCAGCTAGGTGAGATCTCTCCTTACTCTATAGTTAATTGGGATGATATCCATATGAAGGAATATGAAAGGTAATCTAGGTATCTTGTACAACACTATGAATTTCTTACCAATTAAATTGCCCGTTGGATTATATTGAAGACACTGGATTATAACTTTGGAACCGAACGTCCGAGATATTATAAGTTCTCTGAAATGAAACATCATGGTAATTACTGTAATAAGATTACTGAAAGCAAGATATTGTACGGAATGGTGTGGTGTGGAGTGGTACGGTATGGTAAAGTATGGTGTAGTATGGTGTGGAATGGAATGGTATGATAACGGTATGATGTGGTATGGTATAGTATGGTGGGGTAAGGTATGGTATGGTGGGGACGTGGGGTATGGTATGGTATGGTACGGTATGGTATGGTATGGTACGGTATGGTATGGTATGGTGTGGTATGGTACAGTATAGTATGGTACGGTAGGTGCTCACTTTATGATATATGTAATGGTATGATATAATAAAGTATGCATGACACTAGTATCTGGTATGGTATTACATGGTATGAATCAGTACGGTGATATAAGCCTTCAATACACTCACTTCTTATCATGATCCCATAACTGAAGAATACCAGAATAACCCCCGATGCAAATCTTTGGCCTGTATTAAAAATAAAAGTTGTTCATCACACAGTTTCCCCAACAATCACATTTTAGAGTAAAATGCCAGATTGTACACATAAAACTTAAGGACTTACTCTGTTGGGTGAGTAGCAATGGCGTGGATTGGTGCATTATGTTGTTTCACGATAAACTGCAATAAAAAAGTGCATAATGTCGAGTGTTGAAATACACTAAGCCCCGGACAAACTAGAACGAGAGTTGATGATTGCATGAAAGTTTTCTCAACTCTTATGACATTTGATGAGAGTAGGCAAGCGAGAGTTTACATGAGAGTTGACTGGATACTGCTGGTTGAAAGACAAAACTCTCGTCAAATTCCTTCAACATTTGAACCAGCTCAAAGTTGATGAGAGTGCATGAGAGTTGACGTTGATGGTCAAACGCAACTCTCATCATCGTTTGACTGGGGCTTAATTTTCTCATTCATCAACGTAAACAATGGACCTTTCAACCGTGTAACTGGGACCTCAGCTTAAAGTTGATGAGAATTGATGAGAATTGTTTTCTCATTCTCATTTAACTGTGGCTTTCCCGATAGAGTACAAAAGAAATGTAGTCGCTTACAAAAGGTTAAATTTTGTCGAATGTGATGTTAGTGCATCCACACCGGGCAAGCTGAAAAGTTTGCCTGACCAGGGTGGGAATCGAACCCGCGACCTTTGGGATACTAGTCCAATGCTCTGCCAACTGAGCTACGAGGTTCAAGTTGGTGATATTTCGGAACTGAGTCTTAAGTTCCTTCGATATCAATGTATTCTAATATGGGCATTGGACTAGTATCCCAAAGGTCGCAGGTTCGATTCCCACCGTGGTCAGGCAAACTTTTCAGCTTGCCCGGTGTAGATGCACACTCAGAGTAACATCACAAACATCATATTCACCTGAGTACGTAACAACAACACACACAAAAAGTATCATACCTGGTTAGTATTTGCTCTCGTTTTGTAAAATCCAACATTCGCTGTTACAGTTCCGAAAGCGAAATCATTTACAACGAAAGGTGTTCCATCGAGCGTTGCTGAGCGTGGGTGCTTAGGACTTGTTGATCTAAAAAGGATGAAAGGATGATCGACAAGCATATATGTACAGCCAATACAGAAAAGGTTGTCCTTTACAAACCTTAAACTCTAAACCATAAACCTTAAACTCTATGCACGCTGCACAACTTTTCGGCCAGCTTATTAAATATGCATGCAAGGCATTGGCAAATTTAGTCTGCAAAGTAAACACAATTTTTCAGGCAGTATAACACTTACTGGTCCGTATCCATTTGCTCGTATGAAAACGACACTGATGTTATTGGACCACCGCCCAGTTTATTGTACCTGTGACAAACAAAAAGAATGTTCAACACAACTTTTCCATCTTTCTCCTCTATGTCAATCGACTTCATTTTCATTGCATATGTAAGTATTCATTACCAGTTCAGTAAGCGAAGTTCTAAATCCAAAAATTTCACATGGCCAACGATATCACCAGTCACTATATAACTGCAATTTAAAAAATCGTAGTTAAACGTATTGTGAAAGTCAGTGGGAAGCTAGCCACAGCAACAGGTCATGCTATGCAAATTTTTAATGATTTGCATTATTCAGTCCGTTTTCAATGTGGGGTCCCAAGTTCGTTGCGAACTTGCCAATTATGTTTCCAAGTTTGAAAATTTGGTGTTAACTTCACAACGAAGTTCACAAGTACATTTCAATGTTTGAACTTCGTTTGAAAACAAATGTGCATAGCTCAATAATAATAACCAATTCAATGAAATACAAACCTTCTTGGGAGGCCACTGGACCAAGAACTTTCCAATGAATTGTTAATTTCAATTTGAACTATGAATATTTGTTACACTAGAAGTTCAAACATTGAAATGAACTTGCGAACTTTGTTGCGAAGCTCACGCCCAATTTCCGAACTTGGAAATTTATTTGACATGTTCGCAACGAACTTGGGGAGTGCGCGTTGAAAAATGACGTGAAATCGACATCGACTGTAACCTATTTAAATGCAGGTAATAATGTATATTTATTTAGCATAGCATGACAAATTGCCGTGGCTAGCTTCACCACTGGTAAAAGTTTATGATAGGGCGTAAAAAAATACCTGTGGTTCCGCCGACCCTATTATTTTTTCAACGCGATTTACCATGCCACCCTATTTTCTCCAGGTGGTTGCGGGCTGCTCATACAGCGTGCCAAAATGGCGTCTGTTGTCACACTAATTATTGAACCAAATTGCCTAAATTCGTCCATAGGAAATACGCATCTCTAGTTAATTTTGATGACGGGACTCTACTGCAAATCGCCCGGCAAGAAACCGCCAAAACCATGAAAAAAATATTGAAAAAAAAAATTATTTCCGACCTACCGACCCTAATTTTTTCACGATATGAAACCGGAACCACAGGTATTTTTTTACGCCTAGACTCCATCTGTAATAACATGACTGTACTAAATATACAGTTCAGAACTGATAGAGCTGTCCAGTATAGTTGAGTAATCTTACCTGTCCACCAGCGTAACAACATTAATTCCCTTCTCCTGCAAACGCACGATCTTAAACGCCTTCTTATCACATGGCAGGTCACTGCCGGGCACAAAATCCCATACGACTATATTACCAACACTGGTTCCCGTCAAAACTTTGCTTGATTTGGGCTGAAATACTGATTGACTGAACAAACCAACGACCTTATTGAAATCCTGAAAGAAAAAAAAAGAAATCTGTATACTGGAGAGTTGATGGAAGTTCGATTTCCGTAGTATGTTGCATGATTATGTAATTTCACTCCAATCACATGCGAGAAGAATGGGTTTTGTTTGTTGTTTTTAAACAGCTTTTGAACGTTTGGAGTCTTGATTGTTTTTCAAAAATGGAAGTGACCGTTTACTATGAAAAGGGTTTCTGAGATCTGAAATTTTCCGAGATCTGAAATTTTCTGAGCTCTGAAATTTTATATGCTGGATTTTTGGGGTTTGGCCCTTACTGGAACTCCATGCAGAGAGAACAGTTTAGAACTGATCAAGCTATCCAGTATAAATGAAGGTAGTTTAGTTTAGGTTTCCTCATGTAGTAGTAACACTGGATCAATAAGACATAACTCTTACTGGAGTGGGCCTCTAGATTTAAATAAATTACATGGACCTCTAGAGAGAACTGTTTAGAACTGATAAAGCTGTCCAGTATAAATGAAGGTAGATTTCTGTACCTCATCCGTTAGAGGTGGAGCAGCGTGATGGATTCCTTCGTCATCCTAAAAAATATAAGTCGTTTTCAACGACAAAATCAGTGGTATTAGTGTTCCGGTGAGTAAGGCGTTTAATCGACCTGAAAAAGATCGAAGCTCCTTCGTTCAAAACATCAACGTGTCTTTAATTTAGACAGTACAGTAGTTCAGACAAGAACGGCGAGTGCAGATTGCCCACATATATGCCGGTCCAATTAAACTTACCCAATAATAAAACACCACTCTGTCTTCGCTGTTACTGACCAGCTGGTGACAATCTTCTGTGCTGAATGCAATGTAATCCTATAATCCAAAATACTAGGAGTTACTATCGCAAGGAAAATGCTGTCTCAAATTTGACGCTCTCGACAGATAGATCAGGACAACGACTGAGCACACATTTGGCTATTTCGTATTGTTGTTCCGTGAAGAAGCACTGCTCGTCATTGGAACGAGCGCTTAAAGGCTCGTGGCCTTGATAATATGAATCGAATTTGAAAAATAAACACATATTGCTCTTGAAAGAATACAATTTTGGTACAGAACGATCAGATCGATAGTTAGCCTATATGACGCGACCGAATAACATGCGCGCCGTAAAATTTTCATCTATTTTTCTGTTTATTACGTTTGCTAATTGTAATTTGCTAATTGGAATGGACGTTGGTCTATTACGTCTCCTAATTGAAACTTTTAACGCAAGCTGTAACGCAAGACATTCACAAACCGACCGACATACACAAAGTCGAGATCATTGGAAACGTCAGACGTAGTACTATAGTGCGGTATCCCGGAGCATGCGCAAAACAGCATGTTGGCGGCTTAAACAAGTGCACACCGAGCGTGAAGACATACTACTTTTGAGTAAATACCAAGGCTTATGATTCCAAATAAACTAATGGACTACCAAACAACGAACTCACGCACCGAATAAAGCGATACCTAACTTCGTCTGGGCACCGCTTATCAGTGTCAAGAATATTGTGCTGCCTTGTTGCGCTCACCAGCAATTAATATTAACAAAACACCTCACGAAACGGGGTTTAAGTTCATTTACGTTGATTTATGAAAAAATCGAAAAATTACCGTGCGTTTAGATTCCTCCACAGGCATTTCACCTATAGAGATGCCTGTGAAAAAGGCTAGCTTTTTTGTTGTTGATTTTTTTTCAGTGAACAAGATTTTTTTATTCGGAGTATGCCTTATATTGGTTCTGAATTAGGTCATATATGAAATCACAGAGTAAACAAACCTGAACGCCATATTCATCACTGAGTGTCAATGAACAAATAGGATCTTCACTTTCGTTTGTCCAATCCCATACTGACATCACCTAAATGGTAGTTGTTAGTGTCATATAATGTTTTATATTGTATATCGGTGTCTTATTATAGTATGCGAGTAAGTGGGTGACTGTGCTAATCATCCTTACTAGCAGCTGAGAACTAAGCTGAATTGCAAAGGACGCAGCTCAACCTGATCGAGTCGAAGGCTTTCTAAGGGCGCCTCAGGTAGTCACTGACTCTTTCGCATGAAAGTTTTGAGTTCAGAACGACTGTTTTATATGTTTGCACACCGACTTGGATAACCTACTGTAATTGCAGGTGGTCTGTCAGAAACGAGTTTTTCAAGTACCGGTATCCAAATGTCAAATTTTCGTACCCTGAAGAAAACATTTACGTCGACGTTCAAATATTGCACTAGGGACGCATCCCGACCGTGATCTAAAAAGAGTTCCGCTTGCGTTCCAATTTCGTTCCTACAGTATTCGTTCCGATCATGTTTGAATTAGCAAAGTTACTGTCTGACTCACTTGTGGACTTGAGTTGCTCAACGTCGCGAGGTACTTAGCATCAAGTGTCATACATATTGCCACACAGCCGTGAGGATGAGCGTCAAATATTGTTCTCACTGGAATACTGGAAAAATATCATTAAACAAAACTAACATCAATGTGAATTCAAAACAGATCAGTATACCCTGGCAAGGAACTAGAAAACTACAAGGAAGGTCACACTATCGAACTTTCTGATTTATGTCCAATACCCTCGACCTTGTTCGAATCGTGAATCGTAAGGGCGATCGTTAGATTCGTTAGATTCGTGAGTCTTATAGTTATATGATAGGATATGACTTGTCCTTTGGCTTGTTGTGGATATGTCTAAGACTATAAGTCATATAGTATCAATCTAGGTGAATGTCTTCGTAGATTCGTATAAATCTTTAGAATCGATTCGTGATTGGTCCCAGATTTGTTCGAATGGTCAGATTCGTGAAGTTCATAGTATCAAATGGGTTCGTAGTTCGCTCAAAGTGAATGTCTTCGTAAATTCGTACGAATCGTACGAACCTTTCGATTCGTGAATGCATTCAGAATCGTTCGAATGGCTACATTCGAAAGGTTCATAGTATCAATGTAGGTGAATGTCTTCGCAGATTCGTACGATTCGTACGAATCGTTCGAACCGTTCGATTCGTGAATGCATTCAGAATCGTTCGAATTGTTAGTTTCGTAAGCTTCATAGTATCAATGTAGGTGAATAATGTCTTCGTAGATTCGTACGATTCGTACGAATCGTTCGAACTGTTCGATTCGTCATTGGTCCCAGAATCGTTCGAATGGTCAGATTCGTCAGGTTCATAGTATTAAACGGGTTCGTAGTTCGCTCTAGGTGAATATCTTCCGAATGGTCAAGTTCGTGAGTTTCATAGTATCAATGTAGGTGAATGTCTTCGTAGATTCGTACGATTCGTACGAATCGTTCGAACCGTTAGATTCGTTATTGGTCCCAGAATTGTTCGAATGGTCAGATTCGTCAGGTTCATAGTATCAAACGGGTTCGTAGTTCGCTCTAGGTGAATATCTTCGTAGATTCGTACGATTCGTACGAACCGTTCGATTCGTGAATGCTTTCAGATTCGTTCGAATGGTCAGGTTCGTCAGTTTAATAGTATCAATGTAGCTGAATGTCTTCGTAGATTCGTACAATTCGTACGAATCGTACGAACCGTTCGATTCGTGATTAGTCCCAGATTCGTTCGAATGGTCAGGTTTGAGTCAGGTTCATAGTATCAAACGGATTCGTAGTTCGCTCTAGGTGAATATCTTCCTAGATTCGTACGATTCGTACGAACCGTTCGATTCGCGAATGCTTTCAGATTCGTTCGAATGCTCAGGTTCGTGAGTTTCATAGTATCAATGTAGCTGAATGTCTTCGTAGATTCGTACGATTCGTACGAATCGTTCGAACCGTTCGATTCGTCATTGGTCCCAGAATCGTTCGAATGGTCAGACTCGTCTGGTTCATAGTATCAAACGAGTTCGTAGTTCGCTCTGGGTGAATATCTTCGTAGATTTGTACGATTCGTACGAACCGTTCGATTCGTGATTAGTCCCAGATTCGTTCGAATGGTTAGGTTCGTGAGTTTCATAGTATCAATGTAGCTGAATGTCTTCGTAGATTCGTACGATTCGTACGAATCGTTCGAACCGTACGATTCGTGAGTGGTCCCAGATTTGTTCGAATGGTCAGATTCGTGAGGTTCATAGTATCAAACGGATTCGTAGTTCGCTCTAAATGAAAGTCTTCGTGGATTCGTACGATTCGTACGAACCGTTCGATTCGTCAATGCTTTCAGATTCGTTCGAATGGACAGATTCGTGAGGCTCATAGTATCAATGTAGGTGAATATCTTCGTAGATTCGTACGATTCGTACGAACCGTTCCATTCGTGAATGCTTTCAGATTCGTTCGAATGGTCAGGTTCGTGAGTTTCATAGTATCAATGTAGCTGAATGTCTTCGTAGATTCGTACGATTCGTATGAATCGTTCGAACCGTACGATTCGTGAGTGGTACCAGATTTGTTCGAATGGTCAGATTCGCGGGGTTCATAGTATCAAACGGGTTCGTAGTTCGCTCTAAAATAATTTTTAAACATGTTAATCATGCACCCACTACACAAATTTAACAACATGCAATATAACACATCAGTTATATGATTGAAGCGTTCCTCATATCATTTTTTTCTTTCCGAACCGTCCATGAAAACCTACATCTGTAATATTAAATCGTAGTAAAACCATTCATGTTTTTTAGAAGAAAATTTAGTAAAAAAATGTTTCATTTGAGTAATTCTTTTTTCCAGTTTGTCACATAAATTGTAGCGACCGTTCCAAAATTGAGATGATAAATCCATTTGCAACAATATAATGGTGGGCATTCATTGCCGATAAGAAAACATAGCAACTTAAATGCATTCTTGTCATCAATTGGTTTTTGCAAAAATAACCTTCATACCCACATTGGCCACAGTTTAAGGTAAAAAAATACTTCTCCACTCAAAGACCGAAATAAAATAAGACGTTCCCTTGAAATATGCTCGTAGGTGGCAGGTGCAGTTATACAGTGATTGTTTGTAAATTTCAATATCTTCGCACACTTTATGCCATTCCACAAGACATGGATCCATGGCAGTTCCCTACAATTTTGACAAAAACCCAGTCTGGATGAAATTCGAGTGATGGTAGGATTGATTAATGTAGATATTCATGTATCGTGACTGCAAGCCAGTTTCGTGACATTAATAACACTTTATTTTTGAGGATAAACAGATGAATTTATTCCCAATTTGCTTATCCTAAACTGTATAGACACAAGAACAAGAACAAGAACATTAAACATGACTATTTTCCTAGGAGTATGAAAAAAACGAAATAATGCAAATATATAATGTAGGTATTAAGCAGTACTAAAATTCGGTTGTTCATATACCTCGTGAAGTCCCAATTTCCTTATTAAAGGCAATTTTCTAACTCTATTTGACTACTTAAACTACATTTCAAAGGATCAATGTAAGGACAAGGGCCGGTTATAGTTATATTTCTATACTGATGTTGTGTCTCATATATAGCGCATTTTCAATTATAGCTCGTACGTTATCGGGCAATTAAGGTTTGTACGGCTATAGGATTATACGCCTTTTGAGAAAGGTTACGGCCATATTGGCATGCACGCAGTCACTTCTAGCGGACTGCAACTGTGACACGCAATGTTATAGGCCCTATGCATTCATTGAGTTTGTTAATTTCAATTGTTCTTAACTCTTGAAAGAATCAGTTTACCGGGACATATATAAGTGATTTTCGCTATGAACTAATTCAACAATTTATTTGGGCTAAAGAATAATTAAATATACTGCATGTATAGGCTATCTCATGGTTTTCTAAGACAAGTCTTGAATTCTTTGCAATAGGCTACAATATATATACAATGCTTATACAAAATGCAATTTGCGTAATGAAATTAAATTGAATCCGGCACATTAAACACATAATAAGAAGTAAGATAATATACAGAAACATAAAAAGCCCTTACATTATAGTTCGTATATATAAACATAAAAAACCCTTCTTATATTATAGTTCGTATATGAGACACGAGGCTACTTTTGCGTGCCAAATATTAATTAGAATAAAATTGCATAATGCGGTATGTCCGGTAAAATAATAATAAAAAAAACACAGACAGTCACAGGAAAATATAGCATGCTAAGGCCCAAAAAATAAGGCGCTGATACATAACACCACCGATACAATTTAGAATAGTATATTACCAAGAGGGAAACAAACAAATAAGAGATATGCCATATTGTCACACAAATTAGGACTAGCTAAATTATGCAACTTCAGTTTATGCATGTATCAGAACGACAAAAACATTGAAATAATTATCAAGAAACAATTAATGTCAGTGTCCGCGTTCACAAAACTTAAATGAGCTCTAGCTATATTATGTCAAAAATTGAAGGCAACTTTAATGAGTTTATCGCAACAAACACATCAAATTTGAAAGAACACACAAACATGTAGTTGATGATAGTTCTTATACTGCTGTCAACAGTATATGCATGGCGTCCGGATTCCCTGACCCTGGCCATAGGCGTACCGGGCGGGGGGGCGGGGGGGGGGGCGGCAGCCCCCCCAGTTTTTTGGGCAGTCGGGCAATATTCGATCAACAGTCGGGCAATTTTGGCTTGCAATAAAAAAATGGGACAAATTCTGTCAATTTTGTCTAAAATTAAGTCAATTTTTTGGCAAATTTTGCGATTTTTCGAAAATTTGTGTTATGTTCCGAAAAAAATTGGTTGTCCGAAAAAATTTTTGACCCCTAAAATGGTACACTGACCGAAATTTTTTTGGCGACGGGGGGGGGTGGGGGGGGAGGTCGCCAAAATAATTTTTCCGGAAAAATTTTTTTTGATACTAGTCGGGCAGAATTCGGAAAGTCGGGCAATTTTCTTTCCGCCCCCCTAATTTTTTCCTTCCGGTACGCCCATGAGTCTATCAGTTCTAAGTACTGTTTAATTAATAAATGAGCAGGAGTGTTTTATTAGGTTCAATTCTAAATTCAACAGTGCACACCAGCCTTAGGGTGTTAAAGCTCATGAAGGCTAGTTTCCACTCAGGAAAATTATCCGTGGATTGGAACGGACAAGAAAATTTTTCTTTGTGTTAAAGTGATTAGTTCCAACCCAGAGCTCACAAGACAAAGAAAAACTTTCTTGTCCGTTCCAATCCACGAATAATTTTCCTGAGTGGAAACTAGCCTTAAGTATTTCGCTAGCGGATCAATAAAAACCAACCCTGCGTTGCTGTTTTCGCCCTTGATAATAAGATCCAACCTGCGATTGTCATAAAAATAAGCTGCGATTTCGTCGTAGTAATTATAACCCTGAGTCGAGTAGGTAAATATGGCACAATTTGTCTTCAAAATTTTCGCCCAGAAACAAGCGGTAAACGTCGTTATACGGTTGGGGAAAACATTTTCTATCATGGCGTAGTTTGTGGTCGAAGCCTGAGGAAAATTCATCTGATATACTGAACGTGATCCTATAGTCAAACGATATGCGAGATATGTGTGTTGATAAAATATTAGAATTGAAAAATATATAAAATAGGATAAAACGGTCTAGAAAAGAATAGAAATCCATATAAAACAACACATATGATGCAAATTATACAATATACTGGACCCCACCCCACACCAAACCATATCATATCATATACCACGCTACACTACATTTAACACTGCACTACACCAAACTGCAAAACACCACACAACAACATAACAGTGACGGACACTAGGGGGGGGAGGGAGGAGAGGTAGGGGACAATCCCCCACCCAATAATTTCAGAAGTCTTTGAATGATAGTTGAATAAGTGTGTGCAATTCATGTTTATTGCATGAAATTTAAGGCAAAATAATTTAAACAACTAACACATCCAAAACAACTAACACTAACAAAAGACGGTCATATATATGTTTTGCAACCTAAATACCCCCGCAAATCGCAAAGTGTCGGCCACTGCAACATATAATCCAGTACTACAATATGCTTGAGATCACAATCCATTCTTTCACAGTTCTACTTACGACTGTTAAATAGATCACTCGGTGTCTCTTGAAAGGTCATGTCTCCCACAACCTTTGACTTTATTCCATACCAAGCAAATACATTGCCATTTTCAAACATTGGTCCTTTGATTGCCATTAATGATAAAGCATGTCCATCAATTTCATAATTCCACATGTTGAGTCTGCTGAGTACTGGACTGGAAACTAGAGACAGATGTACTATTGTCATGAAAAGTTACAAAAAAGTAATGTATAAAAATGTTAGGTTCAAAATTACTCTCACCCAATGATAGTTGTCCTCCTGCAGGAATTGTGATTCCAGAAAAAACACCATGCATAATAGAGACCAATGAACCATCCAGATAGATTTTCCAGTGACCAGTCTCACTTGACCACGTGGTAGCAATATGGTGCCAGTATTCATCCTGGTACGTTGGAACCCTTGCTGTACTGTTTAGTGGCATGTGCCCAGGAGATAATACAGATGTTAGTGAATATGTCTTACACTTTTGTAAGAAAGCATTATAACTTCACCTCAGGGGCATGCGAGAAGATGCTTCTCGTTTGATTCTACCAAATAGTTCCTATACTAGGGATTAACATTGGACCAATAATGGAGGTTCTTTACTGCAGCTCCAGGAAAACCTAATTGGAACTGATTAGTAGTAACACTGGACGATAAAGGAGACCTGTATTAAGAACTGGTAAAGCTGTCAAGTATAAATAAATTTAAAGTTAGCAGAGCCCAGTCCGTTTGGTGGTATTAGATAGTGAATAGATAGCAACTTACGTTTCAGAAGCATCTGCTATTTCCAGATTGAATACATCTTCATTAATGTAAAATGACAGTGAGGTTCCTGCGGAGTATTTTATAGATATACCATATAGATCTTTTCCCCACAGTGTGATAGTAAAAGCGTGGAGACTTGAAATATATAGTTCTGATGGTTCGATATGAATATCGGCTTCAATTGATGATGTGATAATGATATCATACTCAGAATCTAGAAAAGATCAAATATTAATACACGATGGAATATGCGAGACCCACATTGCCTCCCTCAGTCTACACCCCCCCGCCCCCAACCCCCGCCACTGGTTACGACCAATGATCTCCAATTTGGTCGTAACTCAGACCAAGCTTGAATGAATAAATGTTCTTGCTGGGAAGGATGTGGGTTTGGTACATACAGAAAGACTTACTGATCCTCTTCAAGTAATATTTCAAAATCCGACTATGAGGACTGGACTAGATTTCAAGTCCGAGCAATTTGAACAAGTCTGAGGCGAAGCCGAGGACTGGATCAAAATGCGAGGATTTGAAATCTAGTCGAGTCTGAATTGGAGGATTTGAAATGACATCTCATACGAATAAATCACTATTTAAAGTAAGGTGAATTAATTTCGATCCAGTCCAAGGACTGGATATTTGATCCAGTCGTAGGACTGGATCAATATACTTCAGCAGGTATCCAGTAATATCATGTGAACTAAATGAACTAATATGGTTGACTAATTTACTCATGAATTGTTAATGAGTTCGAGATGTAAGACCTCAATAGCTCTGATTGCACCCTGATCTCGTCAATAAAACTTACTATTGCGAAGTGGCTTGCACGATCTTGGCTGTTCTTTGACGACCTTTCCCCTTGCCAGATCCTGAAGAGCGCTCCAGTTAATAACATTTCCCTCAATATTGGAATAACTTTGGCTGATTAACGTCATGTTGACACCAGGAGTAGATATATAATCATAATCCCACATATTTACTTGACTCAGTTTTCCAGAGAATGAATTGGCGCTATGAAAATCCCCACTGGTGCTTGACAGTTTCTGACCTATGGCAAACACACCGTTAGGTCTCAATGGTTTACCCGAGCCTAGACCACTGCCACTGTAGACCAATGTACCATCAAGGTAAATAGAGTATTGACCAAGAGACCATGTGACTCCCACGTGATGCCAATAACCATCATTTATTGGTGGAACTGGAAATTCCCTGAAACAAAAACGCTGCAGTTAACATGATGTTAAAATTAAACTTATTTAATTTAAGCAGGATTTATAGCTTTATCAGTTCTAAGTTGTTCTTCATACAGTACTACAACAGGATTAAACCGGAGTAGCCTTCTTTACTCGATCGAACTGAGAAATTCTCAGCTGAGGCATCACACATTGTGCCTCTCTAATTCAATGTTATAAAACCGTGGCTATAATTCTATAAAGTAAACCAAAAACCGATATACTTTATAGCCAAGGTAAAGCATATGCATATACTGATATCACCCAATCGAACGACTTGTTGGCAGAGCATTAGCCTAGCAAATCAAAGGCCGCGCGTTCGATTTCAACCGCGGTCAAGCAAAATTTCCAGCTTGCTCGGTATGGATACACCATAGATATGGATACACTCAGAGAGCATGAGAATGTTTGATATGGATACACTCAGAGAGCATGAGAATGAACTTTTGAGAATGTTTCTTCAAAACAAGAACTTGCAAATGTTTCTTCAAAAATCTTGTGTGGATCAATAGGAGTTTTCTTCTCTGGGATTTTGTAATAAACAGACGTGCAGAAATACACAAACTAAAAGGGGTTAGCGCTAATCCAGATTTGAACAACTGGCCCCTGAGTACATACTGCATATTTCAGGAATCAAAATGCGGTCTCAGAAGTGGGATGTACAACCAACATGCGCCAATATCAGGCTGGGCAATAAGTGCTAAGTTTTCAATGAAAGAAAGCAATGTATTACTTACAATTTGGATTGAAACACGAGTATCATCATATCTCCATGTACAAAAACTCTCAATTCCTGAGCGCTTTTCTCCACAGCGTAAGATAACACTGCCATTCTCCCTTCTTTTAATGTATTTATCCAGAACATCAAAGTCATATTAGACATTTCGGGCACATTGTTGTCAAGTAATATATAATTCTTAATGTCCTTTGATTGAAATTTCAGATCAAATTCCTGAGTCGTATCTATAAATTAACCAGCAGAAAAAATGAAAAATCATATAGAAGTAAAAAAGCACTTGTTGTCACAGGTCTCAAAGATGTTACAAGAGAGAAAAGCTCATATTTAGTTAATTCGCACTGCTCGTTTCAGCATATCGATCTGAAAACAATCGCAACATCACCTGTAGGGACCTGTCATTATTTACGGCGGGGGTTGCACCTAAGAGAAACGTTTTTCTTGGTCAAAATTTTACTGATCCAACCATTAAAAACTCCGAATTTTCCATACCCAACCTCAAATATCAATTAAAAAATAAATGCCCACCCCTGGCCAAAAACTTTACAAACGGATACCATTCAGTGGTCGCATATGTCCTTTACCACTTTATGTGACATGAGTTTGATAACTGCCTGTGCAATTTTCTGCAGTCCAAAGTTCCATGTCTCCTGACAGATTGGAAAGTGATGAAGATAGTGACTCTGATTAATTTACGTATTGTATTGACTGTTGACATTGCATGCTTTTTAGTCTTCAATATTTGAGCTCGAGTGAGTCATGCTTTGGAAATGACAATAATTTTTTACTACTCAACCCTTGAGTTGTTTCGTTTTTCATTTACCCAACCTTTTATTTACTCAAAATTTTGTTTACCCAACCCTTTTCTCTTCGGTGCCTGCACCCCCCACCATAAATGATGACCGCTCCCTTATACATTTTTAAAACATACCTTTGTCAGTAACGCAACTGCTATTATACTCCTGCGAAAAAAAGAAAATATCTTTTAGCGTTAAATGACGGTCCTAGCCTTTCCTTAGAAGATTCTGTTTATTACAAGAGGAAACAGGTAAACCTCCAGTAATTTTATTGCCTTACCTTTCGCGGTGCATTGAAGTAAATATAATCGTAAAAGCGGTTCTTCTCCAACACTGCTGACGTTTCGTCCACGACATCGTGCAACATCTCACAGAGACTGGCGAGGTCTTGAGGTAATCCTTCCCGGTAGTTTATAGATCTACAACATGGCTCCTGCACACACGACACTACACATTCCATCATGCTGGAAACATCAACCTTCTTCAAAATTGCACTGTTGAGACGGGACCCTATATATAAGAAAGTAAATAAACTTAACCAAACTGGTAAATTATCTTAAACTTTATTTATACTGGATAGCTCTATCAGTTTCAAACTGCTTCCCAAGGGGTCCAATTAGAGCCATTCCTTATGACAAAGTGTTACTTCAGGAACGAAACTTTGTTTGATGCAACTACTTGAAAAAAAACAAGGAGAACTTCGACGTTTCGAGCGAAGGCCTTTCGACGGCAAGTTAGTGCCCAACGAGGCCTTCGCTTGAAACGTCGAAGTTCTCCTTGTATTTTTCAGGTAGTCGTATCCCTATTTCTTATATTATTGCCACTACCTACACGGCTACACTGGTACAGATCATTCAAGATTACTTTGGGAATGAGCCCGAGGTGAATCGTATACTCGAATACTTTAAGAGGCAATTTTTTTTCAATGTCACGTATTTGCAATGAAAAGTGTTCAAAACCTAAAATCTTTTTGGCGTTCCTCTCAAAATTACTTTGTTTTAGTCTTATCCTCTAGTTTATAGAGTTAGCAATCTTTTTAAATGCATCTGCCGGTTGAGAAACATAAAATAATAGTTAAAAATTGTCTATTACAATACAATTATCAATCAGTGATGCTTTAAAAGTAACGCCATATTTACAGCCATATAAGCAAAACTTATACTGAACTTCAGACATCATTTTCTCTTTGGCGTATCATCTAATTATAAAATCTCTTCATTTTAGCATTATTTTACAGATAAAGCACTAAACATACTTTTTAAGTTCGTTTGCCGATTGAGAAACGTATCGAAAAATAAAAATTTTGAATTTAGTCATAACCTCAAGCGATATAAAAAATCTCCTCTTTATAAGGTTATCCGACTTCGATGAGCGTTAAAGCTAACTTTGTCTAAGTAATGCGTGGAAAAATTGTAATTGATAATTCCCCTTATTACGTTTTCGTAGCGCTTTGCATTGTGGTTGTAGTGGTATCACTGATAACGATAGCGGCCTCGAATGAAAATATTGAATGTTTTCGCGAATATTTTGCTGCAGTTGGCTATCGCGCACCTGACCCTAGCTTTTTTTAAAAGTTCTCGCACGGGTCAGGACAAAAAATAAGCCATCTTGACTATCAGTGATACGACTATAACCACAATGCAAAGCGCTACGAAAACGTAATAAGGGGAATCTAGTATTATGTATTTTTTGCTAGTATTTATGTATATTAGCGTTAAAGCTAACTTTGTCTTAGTAATGTGTGAAAAAAATTGTAATTATGTATTGTTTGCTGGTGTGAATAAAATTCTTCGTCTTCTTCTATAGTAGTATCGTCACGCCTCCGTACTGGATAAGCCTCGCTTAAGCTTGGTTCAAACTGTTTACGTCTACTAGACTCGTATACGTCTAGTGCTAAGGTGTTCACTTTAAAACATGCTTGATATCCTTACCTTCCAGGGAAGCATTAAAGCAGAAATCCAAAGATTCAATTCCACGCACTGCCAGCAACAAGGTCAGCCAAAACATAAACACTCGATGCATCGTGGGACGAGGTATAGATGGAACTTTCTCACCGTCCTGTTCTCCTTTCACTCCAAGAAATTTCTTCTCAGAAAACTCGCTTTAAAATTAAACGTATCTTCAATGAAGGAATTGGTATTCTTGAGTACAGTAGTATTCTATGTTCACTACATAAGCAAGTAAAATATGTCAAATTTAACGCTGCTAAAAATTGTCATGTTCAATTGCCTTTAGCAACTGTCTTTAACAACTGTGCGAAGCTAATTAAAGTTTTGCATTAAAAATTAAAGACCACTATAATTAATTTGCCGTACAATACATTAACTCGCACGTAGGTACTCTAACGGAACTACAACACTATAGAAAACTTTCGTAACTATGTTTCAAAGATGGGTAGAGACAGGCAGACTTTTGAGGAAACATCAAAATTTTTCAGGATACAATACGAAACCGGTGAAGGAAAAAAACAATGAAATTTGAATATACTCGCAATTAAGTAGCCTTTAGCAGTTCTGATAAATTATTGAAAGCTCTACTAAGTGGTTGGTTAGCAATTTCGACCATTTTCTGTAAAAGCATGGATTATTAATAGTCTATTAATAATCCATGGTAAAAGCAAGGTAAATGTTTGTGTCGTATTCATTGTTTTACAACAAAAAATTCAATTGGTAGGTACAAAAATAATTCTTTTGTCCTTCCACAGTGCTATAATATACATCAGCAGGCGGGCTGCTAAGGAGCAGGCTATATACTCAAACATTATATACAGGTGGTAAAGTGCTTTTTGTATTTATATTCCCAAGTTTATAGCCATAAACTAATTTTACATTTATAATTTCACACGATGCCTCATTATGAAGGCACTGTCCACGATCATTTGACCAAAATTTGGAGTTCTGCCGCTACAAACTCTAATTATGTTAACCCTATATATGAGGAATTTACAAGCTATGACATTAGTTATTTGCCTCAAAATTAAACTGGTAAGACGACTACTACGTATTATGAAAACAAACGTGGACGTCCCGTGGAGGTCCCGTTGAGGTAGTATTCTATATACAACTACAATAAGCTGCCATGGTTTGTGCCTAAATAATTTCGGGCATACTCGGACGAAAACCACCGCAACTTATATACAAAATGTCTTTTCATATTGCAGTGTAAATAGATGTGCATGTTAATTTATTTTTAGTATCTCATGACTCTTATCCATTGTATAGTAATCTCCTGAACCCATATTGTAATCCATATTGTAACACATATTCTCTTTTAACATAGCCATGGGCGCAACGCATCTCCACTTGTAACCGTTGTCTTGATTGCGGGCAAATCTTGCATAAGTAAAATGAGCTGCGATGTTATCTTTACACCATTGATCTCGCAGAGCCTGCACTCTGTACTCTGAAACAGAAAGAAGAAATACTTTGTTTAACCACATTTAAAACATCAATACTGCATGGTTTAGTTATGGTTTCCCAGTAATGTTCATGATCGCCCTAGGTAATGTAGATCCTAGCCTGGTTATTAGTATAAGGCCTGTGACAAAGGCCATGTAGATTCAGACTCTTTATAATTGCTGATTGTTAGAATACCTGGTATCTCTGCTTCAGATCTTTCCACTATAGACACATCATCAAATACATAATCAGTCATGAAATCTCTCCATTGTAGTAAATTTCCATTCACATTGATAATTCCTGCCGCCATTCCTTGGATGGTATTTATATGCAGAGGATACGCCCAGAAATTTAACCCAGCAAGACTTCCTTCAAAACCCTGGCCAAGCACCATAACACCGTTGGAGGGTATAACCTGGCCCTTAGCCACGTCCTTTTCGTTGAACAGTTGAATAACATCTTGATACATCCGGACTAAACCATCTGAATTTTCCCACTTCATACAGTAAAAATGCCATGATTCATGTGTAGAGACCGGCAGACTAAAAATATATATTACAGGTGTGAGGCTATTGAGGCCAGTTTACACTTGCAATTTTTGCTGCGATTTTCTTCTTCTGACGTGTGAATGTTATAGTGTGAACTGAACATTCCATGACGATCTACTCGTTTACATCCATCATGTCAACTGGATAGTTATTTAAAGAGTTCTACAATATCCAATGAGGTCATCTTATATTGCTTATGCATGTGTGCTATACTACAGAAGGAAACCTGAACTAGTCTAACAATATTTATACTGGATAGCCTTATTAATTCTAATCTTGAGGTTCAGTTAATTTATTTCACTACATAGTTTTCCAGTGTTACTACACTAACAGGAGCAAAGCTAAACTAAATAACTATAACTATATACATATACCAGATACCTCTATCACTTCTAAACTGTTCTATACCTGCAGCCAAATTCAGTGAGGACAATATTGATAGTGGTCCACTGATCCAACTCAGTTGTCCAACTTCACTACGGAAGAAAAGAGAGCTGCTATATGCACTACGGCAATTCTTAACGTCGTTGAGAGGTTTTTGGTTAGCTAGTCTGTCATTGTGAGGATCACAAAATAATCGTGTCGTTGAGAGATTTTTGGGCAAATCAGGTTCAGTGGAGAAATCATCAAGCAAGTTTTATAAATACTGGATACTTCTGTCAATTATAAACTGTGCTTACAAAATTCAGACAGTGTACACCAGCCTTAGGGAGTTAAAGCCGAATATTTCGCTAGCCGATCAAAAATTAAAACGAACCTTAGGTCTGGAGAATGTTCGCCGTTGATTTTTAGATCCAAATGCAACGTGTTCTCATCGTGATGAAAATCAGCTGCAATATTTTCATTCGAAGTCGAGTAGGTAAATATGCCACAATCTGTGTTCAAAATTTTCGCCCAGAAGCAAGCGGTAAACTTCGTTATATTGTTGGGAAAAACATTTTCTATCTTGGCGTAGTTTGTGGTCGAAGCCTGAGGAAAATTCATCTGATACACTGAACGTGATCCTATAGTCAAACGACATGCGAGATATATGTGTTGATAAAATATTAGAATTGAAAAATATATAAAATAGGATAAAACAGTATAGAAAGGACTAGAAATCCATATGAAACAACACAGTTATACAAATTATACAATATACTGGAGTAATACACAACAAACTACACTACAGTACCCACCCTCCTTCACCCCCACCCCACCCCACCCCATATCATATCATGGCATATTATGTCATACCACGCCACAGTAGCACAATACTACACCACATCACATCACGTGCTACAGAACACGGCACAACACAACGCAACACAACACAACGGGGGAGGGCGGGAGACTGGGGACATTCCTCCACCCAATAAAATTTAGGGCAAAATAGTTTAACATCAACAAGAGAGTTATATGTTTCGTAATCTTATTACCCCCCGCCC